AAAAGTGCAACGTTGCCAGTTAAAGGATGGACAAAAGTATGTGTTGCCCTTTTCCTGCCCGTGAAGCCTACAGACAATATTCAGGGATGTGTTTAGGTGAGAACAGTACAGCTCCGCAGCTGAAGAGCAGAAGCTGGGGTGTCCTTTTGTCCTGTCAGTGTTAGTGGGTGATGGATGAGATGGCAAGCCTCGCACATGGAGGGTCATTACAGGAGGCCTAGAGGGGGCGCTATACCTACAGAGACGCAAAGGACCAACAATGGAGCAGATACTATCACAGCGCTGTAATAATAGGGCACGTGCACGGTCCTATTCATGCAGCACACTATAGAAACGCCTTCACATGAAGAGTAAGATAAGGACATGCAAAAAAAACACCAACCCATATTTGGTCACAAGAAAAAGGAAATTGTAAATAATGATTGTAAAAATTATGTGAGGTTAGGGGTGGGCAATATTCACAAAAATCTTAAATATTTTTTTAAAAATAATAATCACAATCACTTGTTTCTTGAATCAGTTGTTTTTGTAGCATTCCAAGGGCAGACAATACCAACTGATATTCACTGTGTTGTTTAGGTCATTTCAGTACTGTTTTCTTCTCTATGTTGCAAAGTATGCCTAATCAATACTGAACTAGTATCAAAATTAGATTCTCAGTTTTAAAAAAAAGGTACGCAGGAAGGTAATCTGAATATTTCAAATGGAAGTGGGGAAAGAATCTGTCAATTACAATGGAAGACAACATTATCTAATACATGGCGAGTGTTTGTATGGAAGAATACTGTTAAGTTTTGTTTTTTGTTTTTTTTATCACACTCATTCAAAAAAGACACCAAGGGAATGGGGATTCATGTTGGAGGCTCTGTGGCTCATCTGGGGCAAACCACTATCACATTTTATGGGATTTCACTATTCTGAAATCTTACTGGTCACAGATTTGGAGTCATACAAACCATGTTTTTGGGTCTAAATTGATGTTTACTTTTTAGCGTTTATATTTGGGAGACGTTAATGTCCAGAATTGGAGAAATGATGATAAAACGTTAATAGCAATACTACTTGTAGCAGGCACAAAAGCCATTACTGTACAAGAAAATGGCTGAGGGCAGATCCTCCAACAATAGAGGAGTGGATAGAAATAGTCTATGAAATCTATGTGATGGAAAAGCCGTCTTTCACCCTCCGGAACCAAAGGAACTCATTTTATGAAACATGGACAAAATGGACTGAGTATGGGAAGCTATTAGATCAGACTTTATCTGAAAATGAATACTGTAAACACATCTCGATTGATATTCCAATGAACAATTATAACGACACTCTTTTTCCTTTGTGTTTTTTGTTTTGTTCTGTTTTGTCTTGTTTTGTATAGTTGAAAATTAAGACAAAAAAAAAAAAAAAGAACCTTTCCTAAATAACTTTAGAATGATCATGAGATGTATCAGAAGAAGTGTAAGAGCACATAGACAAGTATATGACCATGGACCATTATGGAACTGAGAGATTACAGATATAAGATTGAATGGTAATATATAAAAGAAAGTACTATGATGTGATTTAATATTGAAAATTGACATTCTGTAGTGGTGTGGTATCTGGATTGGTATTGAGTATCAAATTCATAATTCTTAATGTATTTGCTACATAACAAATCATTTATTCTTACTATTTTTAATGTGTTTTATAATTTTGTCTATACCTTTATAATGTTGCTTATTTAACCTTCCATTCACAGAATCTTTTGCGAAAATCCTATGAATACAAAATGGGATCTATAGCCAAAAAGCTATTCTCTGGTCCATTACTGACACAACAGAGGCCATCTCACAATGGCACAATTATGGAGCACGTGCACACTCCTATTTACCCAGCCAACCCACTACAGACATGCTTTTACATGAGCAGAGATAAGCAGATGCAGCCACTAGTGTCACCCCCCCCCCATGTATAATTATAGAGGGAGGGGGCAGAGGGGGGAGAGGAGGGGGGGTATACATGAACAGGCAATGGAGTGCCAGACAGTCCATTCAATAATTAGCCAAAACATTTGTCCATCAAATCTCCAAACAAGCTGCACCAGAACAATGAGCCACATTAGGGCGACATTATCAAATTGACTCCAAAGGTCGGACATTACACTAATGAGCAGCGGTTATTTCTCAAGTTCTGATTATATCAAATTGGTTCGGACAATACGAACCAAGTGTTTTATTTTTATCACCAAATAATATTTTGTTTTGGCTTTTGAAAACACTTAATAGCTTATTGATCTTTTGCAGCCGATGTCCTCAACATTCCCTGGGGGTGTGATGCTAACTGTAGGCACTACTATCTGAGCTGAACTGACTAAATTGGAACTACATCAGGTGAGATGATTTGTACACATGTACACGTTTCTAACACATTACAACCATGGATCTATTCAAATAACTGTTGGGTATTGCCGCTTATAGCTGCCCCCAGTTTACATAGTGGCCACTCACTGGTACTACAGTGGAAAACTCCCATGGGCTGAGAAAGGATTTTTCTAATGCATCACAATGTAATCACCGACTGCTTGGGTTCGGCTGATGGCACCTACAACTTTCAAAAATGTCAGATTTCGTGGCAATTGTATTTATTTTTAAATTAAACTTTTTCTCTGCTCAAAATCCTTCAGTTGTCTTAAAAAAACGCTTTATAATCATTAGCTCCGGCTCCGCTCTAGCTTCTCTCGCTCTGATTGGTCAAAGCGATCATATGATACACGAGACCGCTCTCCATGTGTGTGCTTGTGTGCATTTGTGTGTGCCCGCGGGAGAAAAGAGCACTACTGCACATGCTCAATCAGCCCAGAGCCACCGGAAGTACCTCGCCAGGCTAAAGGCAAATTTGGAGTCATGCACCATTGAGCTCAGCCCATTGACTTGAATGGGCGGCCATTTTGGAACCCCGGGGCTTGATTACAATCCTAAGATAGCTAGCACTAGACAACATTTTTCAGTTACTCTCACTTTTTTGTTGAAAATCAGACACCTAAATATGACCACAAATACACACAGTGATCACAAGCTCCTTAAAATGTGTTGTTTACTCTTTTTTTTTCTTTTTCTGAGCTTTAAAACACTTTTGGCCGTATTTACTCATATATGCAAGCGTCATCATCTTAACTGATGAACATTCCGCTATACACATACATGTAGAACACCCCCAGCATAATGTCACTGCAAAGTATCAATAATGCATGTTTTCAGATTTGATGATTCACTCAACCCAACTACTGAATTACTTAAAAGTACACTGTGTAACTGTGGAGGAGGGTCTGCTGAGTGATTATCTCGATACAAATATCACGGTTTGCCAAGAATGTTCAACTATGAGGAATTAAATCTCCATGGAGACAAAATGGTGATGCCCCCAGACCAATTTAAAGGTCAAATCTGTGGAGAGGTGAGGCTGCTTAAAGTAAGGATGTTTTTCAAGCATAATTCAGGACGAATAATAAAACACATAATTAATATCAACTTCATGAACACAAAACGGTTGTGAAGCATCTACCAGAAAAGTTTAATTTCTAGTCATTACTTGGTTAAAGATTTATTACAGTAAGATCAGTCACACACTTCAGGAGGCACCCAACTTCATAACTTATTTGTACAAAATGAAAAACATAGGCAGCTTGTCACAATAAGTAAGGTAACATATATATAATAACAAGAGTGAGTTCAGTTCAGTTCTTCAGAGAAAAATCAAAGCAAAATGTGATTTCAAGATAGAATAAGAATACAACCTCGAAAAACCTTTACTTTTCACTGCAAACTACGCCAGAACTGACACCATAAGAGCTTTGACCATAGCTAAACCTGACAGAAAATATACTTCACTTTGGCATCTTTCAGTGAAGCTTCCCATAGAGACAAGGTAATGGACAAATATATTAACAGCAGAGCTTACCTTAACTGAACTGGGACTGGCATTATTATAACCATAGGAAACCTGCCTGCGCCACATGTGGGCCCATACTTAATCCTTGTGTACCAGTAAGCTATACATCTCCATGGCGACATACTGATTTCTTAAGGGCTCTTGAGCAGCTTTTAAATAATCATTGGAGTTTGGTTGAGGAGAGGCGCTGTAACTATGAACTCTGTTTGCCCTATAATAATCCTCACAAGAGTCAATACGGCCAGCTGGATAAGTGCTGCCCCATTACACACTTTTAGAAATGATTTTATGCACATTCACAGGAGCCATCACAGAAAAGGTTACAGTTTCTAGCTTTACTTTGGCATTTCAAAGAGCATTAAGTGCAGCAGTTATGATTTTATAAACTGAAGAACTTCCCCTTCTTCAGCCATGTAATCCAATATAGTCAATGCATAGTTTTTGACAATATTAAAAACTATTTCATGCCACTGACAATAAAAAATAAAGCAGGATGATCTGAATAAATAATTTTTACAGTATTGTTAAAAGGTCTGACTTGCTACAAACTCAACTTTAACTTTACCTTTATTTATATCTCCACATAGAAATGGTTTATAACTTCTTTTACCTGAGATAAATAAGAGTTTCTCAGACCTTTCTGTTGTTTTTTTCCCTTTCTTAATCCTAAACTACCATTTTTGTTTTCACTGCAATGGAGCATGGGTCTGTCTGGTTGGTTAATCTGCCTGTCAATCAAACCTTCTGGAATCAGGGAGACAGGATACAGTTCCAGACACACTCGTCTTTGCAAAGCCTGTGGTTGTGGCTGGCCAGGTAAGAGAATGACAACCATATAAAATCCTAGAACTGGAAAGAAGCTCTACAGAAAATCCTATATCCAACCAGATGAGCAACAACAACAGAAGAACTCATCAAAGTGTGACCATATACCACATAACACTATACTATATAATACTTTTTAGATTATTGTTAACAAATATACAAACCACTGATAAAAGCTCTCAAAAATAACTCTGGTTTATTATGAAGAAGTGAAGTTTAAATCTGACTCCTGCCATGTTGATCCTCACCTCTTAAAGTGGCTGAGCAGGGTCCCGACCAGCTCCCCGATGCGGCTTTCATTGGGTGGGACCAGGCCCTGCAGACACACCACCAGGTCTCGGCTGTCCTTAGTGTGAAAGACCACCAGCTGGTCCTTCCCCGGGGAAACGCTCACTCCCGTCACCTGGGCAACAGCCAAAACAGATTAGATCAACACTACAGCTCAACAAACAGGTGCAAGTGCAAGTACGAGAGCGATAGAGGGATGCAATTAAACACAAAAGGGAAAAACACACTTGAAGGTGCATTGTGCCACTTTTCTGGTGGAGGATACGTCAAATGCTTCGGCAAATGTATCCTTGGAGTTGTTATTGCTTTGTTTGGGATAGGGATTTTGGGATTTGGGATGTTTCACAGCATGGCATTAAACCTTTCTCGTCGTGGAAAACAAACCGGCCAAGTTACAAGTCAGATCTGTGGAGAGGCGACCCTGATCACATTCAGAATGATTGTTTTTCTAGTTTTTTTGGAGCTATAAAACCACCTGCAACTGAATAAATGTAAGGTAGAGCTGTTTAATGTCATACTGTGGAACATGACATATCTATAGAAAAAAGCAGGTGACAAATCCCAACCAAAAAGTTGCACAGTACACCTTTAAATGAGAAAGCATGTACATGTACTGTTTTATTTGTAGAGCTGAAGGGAGGGCATGCAAAGAGGTAAACTTACAGAACTAAACCAGCAATGACCTTGGTCTTAAATAGAAGGGAAACAAATGAACTCTCTTCAAGAACCACTGCTCTATAAAGCACTATCTTAATCAAAAACATACACAGTTTTAGGTATAATGAAATGCCTTGACATATTTTTAGTATGCCGATAATTAATTTCAGAAACATTTTTACCAGGAATTAAACAAAAATTTGTTTGAATGTCTTTTCAAATATGTTAGATGAGGCTTAATTCTTGCCAAAAAAGCAGAAACATCACTTTACACTTGTTTAAAAGCTGAGGGGCAAGGGCCATACTTCTCATTAATTACTTCAAAGAAATACCTTCAAATGTGGAACAGATTATTTCTATTTGTGACTTAACTCTGTGACCTGCTATATTAAATCTCTAGAATGTAATGGAATAAGTATAAAGACATATAAAAACAAGTCCAGTTTATCTGATGTAATCCACGTTAAATCTGTCAAAACATGCACATTTCTTTAGTAAACTTATCTGACCGGAATAAACACTGTATATTGCAACATCGTTATGAAAATTATAGGTGATAGTATGAGATAAGCAATCATTTCTCAAGCTAGCAATTTTCAGATCTGGCAAATGTGCAGATTTGAAGTACCCATGGGAGCCCTGTAAAAGCTTTCAAGTCAAAAGACCGCTCATGAAAGGCCCTCTCCAAAAGGCCAGTATCTGATGGCTATTGGCGTCTGGGATTTCTCACACTCAAGATTTAAATAGCCAGTAATCATGCAGTGAAGACCCTCCCCAAGGACTCATCATCTTTGAGTCCAAGCCCCCAGACCAAGCATCAGGCTACAAAGGGAGTCCAGCATTGTGGTTAATGGAGACTCAGCATTTACAGTAAACACAGTCAAATATTGTCATGGGGATAAACAAACAAAGATGAAAGTTTACTTCGTTATATATGTCAAACTATAGCCTATATCATGTTGCATTTCACCATTTAAATATATAGTGTGGTCTAAGTTGATACCTTGAAAAACTTTCTTACTTAGGGACTTTGGGACTGCAGATGCAAAGTAGCAGCAGCTAAATCTGGAACAAATTATCTTTTCTTTTGCAAGATTAATATGTTTGTACATGGTCCCTGACAAAAAAAGAATAAACTATACTGTGAGACGGGCTAGCCCAGGGGTGTCAAAATCAAATTCACAGAGGATCAAAATTAAAAACTGGGACTAAGTCGTGGGCCAATCTAAATATTTACTGACAAAATTTCATCAACATTTGCATGTTTTCTCTTCTTTTTAGATATGTAATATTAAACCTTTTCTTATTAAAATAAATGTTTAATAATAGTTTTGCTTAAACACTGAATCCAGAACAAGGGTTAGGGTTAGTAATAGTATAATATAAAATAATAACAAAATTTTAAATAAATAATGTCTCTGTAGCCTATTTGTAGCCGGCGGGCAGCTCTAATACAGATTTGATATGACCTCGTGGGCCAAATAGAATTATATCCCGGGCCAAATTTGGCACCCGGGCCTAAGATTCACATGTCTGGGCCAGCCAGTCCACAGATCTGACCAGCAACTTCAGCATCTGCCCCACATGCTTTTCTCCCAGGAGATAGACAAGTTTAATGCCATACTGCGGAACATTACATCAGTGCTTCCCATTACTATAGGAGAATACAGTGAGTGGCCCCCATAATTTAAAACAAGCGGAGGAATGTATTGGCTTTCCATTTTCCTTGTTGTATTATTATAAATATATAGACTTTATTTAATCTCTAATCAGTCTTTTTTAGTTAGTCTACTCTAATTTTTTTGATTTAGCTCTGGAGTTGTAAATAGGAAAGAGATGATGTCTAAGCCCCCCATTCCTGTTCAAAAATGAATTTTCTTTTCTAACAAAAATAGTCTCTTTAACTCCCCTCTCAAATCATTTCTTTCCTCTGGCTAAAATCTGTACCTCACTATCCTCAAAAGGGTGGTTAGTGAGTCACAGTCTACGACATTCTCTCAAATGTATTCAATAAAGTTATTCAACAAGGATAGTCTGGTTGAATAATGAAATACTGTTGCATGCAAAGCAATAGCATTTCCACGAAGACAAACGGGACGCCATAATCCTGTCTCTATTCACTTAAAAGCTCAGGATCCAGTGCTACCTATCCATTTATTTCTAATCCACCTGAGTCCGCTGCCGCAACACCCTGTCAAACAGCCAGGGGGCAGGATGTCAGGTGTTCTAATATCCTCCAAGTGGAGAGCAATGCCCAGACTCACTTCTTCTTCTCTTTTTCCATTAGGGTGAGACAGCTTAGAACCACAGGCTACACCACCAGCTAGCTTATTTAGCAACAACAAGATGTCTGCTACTCCGGTCCAAAACACTTCTCCATAATCAGCGTGAATTAAACCCCAAATCCTCGCCCGTGTCTCGCAATCCGCACACAGTTAATTACATGGAGCTGACTACATTTACATTCATATTAGCGGCTTAATTGAAAGGAACGCCAGGCAGTTTTATAATGAGTGGGATAATGATACTTTCTCAGACAAATTTGATCTTGTTTCGCCAAATCAGTTTGTACCCCGAGTATGAAATTTGCTGGAGCTATTTATCTACACTGACATCTGTTGTTTTTTGATTTGACGGTAATAGAGCAGTTCAGCTGATGGGTTATTGGAAAGGATAAATCGGCTGCAAAGAAGATGCTAATCTGAACACAGTACATAGACTAAAAAGAAAAAGAGCTAAAAATAAAAATAACGTATTGTCAATTATGCTAGTTAAAATACATCTTTTTATTTATTCATATTTATTTTATTTTAATGGTTATTTGGCACTAAAGGTAAGCTTGTCCTTGTCACTGTTGTTTTGTGGTACAATGTTTTGCTTAAATTGAAAAAGTCAATTCAATAAATAAATTCTCAAACACTGAATAGTGAGATAAGATGTGCATTTGTTTCGCTCAAGGCATAGTTAAAGTACACAGCAAAAACTGGAGGGTTGAAATTTTAGGGTAAAATATTTCAGAGATGTTTTTAACACCAAAAGTGTTATTTTAACTATTTGAAAGTTAAATGGGGGTTTGAGTTGGGGTTATTTGTCAGATGATGTGGTTGAGGTTAATTCAACTTCCTCTGGTGTTAATTCAACTTCCCTTAGTGTTAATTTGGCTCCTCCCATTCACCACTTCAAACTCTTGTGAGAGAAGACCAGTTTGAACCAGTTTTGTACATAATTTCTTCTTAAATTAACTAAAATAAAGTAAATCCAAAATAAAACACCTCTGTGTGTTGTTTAGCTAAATCAGAATAACTGTACAAAGTGTTATCTGTTTACTCTCAAAACTCTAGATTTTGGGGTTAAACAGAAACTTTGGTCCAGTGTTACTTAATTAACATTTCCAAAAATGTTAAATTAACTCTAGAACAGATTGGACTCATATAAACTATACATTTTAACACTCCACTTTTTGCTGTGTAGTTTTTAAGTTAATGCATTATTATATAACCTGTGAATAATGCTTTTGTATTTAAATCACTGATAAATAGTAGTTATGAGAACACAAAACATCTTCACATGACATTTAGCACTTTCAATATATGGCTTTTATAATGAAAATAATTAGGAAAGTACGTCCATTTTATGCTTTAATAAGGCATGTGTACCTTGGTTTAGTTAAAGTATATTTTCTCTCTAAAACCACAGTGCGTTGTTGTATGTACCTTAAATTAATTATTTTGCATATTTTTGGTTAAATTTAGTACTGTATCACATTATTAATTATTTATACTAATAACATAACTATATGGTTTTTAAGTTGTTTTTTTTTACTGCGCTGGTGGTGCCTAATAGATAATTTTACTTTTACTTACTAATTTAGTTTTTTTTTTAACAACTTACTAACAATTCTGTGCATATACTCTGAAACCAGCTTTGTAAAATGTACCATATGCAGTACTTTAAGTGTACTGCAGTAGAATTGAACAAAAGTACAGAACAGAAGTCTTTGTTCTTCCAGACTAAAGGAAAAGTCCATTCTCTTAAAGGTGAGGATGATGGAGAGTGAGCCAGAGGGGCCTCAGATAAGCCTATGTGGAGAGGACTGGTCTGCGCACATGTCTAAACGACACCAGACATCAGCTGATCCGCCCCGCCGGTCCGTATCCATGACAACGCAGTCTCCCGGGAAGTCGCCATGACAACAACAACGGGAAGAGACGGGAATACGAGGGTGGCAGGAGGGAGGGAGGGTGAGGAGGCAGGAATTAACAGGATGGAAGGGAAAATACATGAAATGGAGAGATTGTACAGTAGTATTTGGTAAAACTGAGAGAGCACACAGCGAAGCAAAAAATATCTAGAGATGATGAGAGAAAACATGAAATTTACAAATAACATAACATATTAAAAGTCCTATATTATGCAATAGTAATGCTTATATTTCTTATTTTAAGCCATGTAATCCTT